GTGGTGTATCCAACAAATATACTCTTATACTGTTCAGGAAAACTGCTAGCGCCCCAGATGCAATCTTCTGGAAGGGAGCAACAGCATGGGCTAAAATCATTGCATCAGTATTTTTGATAATCTGCCCAATTTCAAAACATACTGTTGTTGTTTAGCAATACAGGATTGCTACAATATATTGAATATATTTATTATATTAGGTACCACATACCTAACGTTGGTATAATGTAACTAAAAAGTACTCCTATTATAGGGAGAACTTAAGAGGCCAAACTGCAGTGGTAAAACCAGTACAGCTCTTCCAGTTCAAAGAGATGGTCTCGGGAAAACCAGCTTCTGCCAGTGCAACTGCATCTATGTTAGGGGTAACTGTAAACACAGCTGTTCTGGAATCCCACTTCTTCACAGCCACTGAAAGCCTGAAACACAGCTTTCATCTAACGTTTTGAGGAGATCTGTGCCATCTTTAGAAAGACACTAGCCTGTCTTGAAAATCTGGAGAGAGAAAAAGAGGCTGCAAATATACCCACTTAAATTTCAATAGATTTTTGGGATTCTTTTGTTCTACACTTATTAAAATGAGGGACTAGAAATCAGTTCCCTTCAAGGCAGGAAATGTGAGATAGAAGCCAAAAATATGACAAACTATTTGATTATAATTCATCAAATGGCATTACTTTTTTAATTTTTATTTAAATGTTATCTATAAAACCACAAAACGTAGCTAAATAATAGATGTGTGATAAATTCACGACGCAAATGACTTCATTTAATGCTAGCATTGTATCATGATCACTCCCAACCTTACCCTTCCAGTTAAAGGACCATTGGTGTTTGCTCCTGTTATTAATCCAGAGGATATGCTTCTCATGTTCAGTGACCCAGTTCCAAGAAGTATCACAATATAGAAGCCTATTTTCCACTTAATAAACATGCATAATTCCTGTGAACGTTAGCACTGATTATGCACACTTAAACACTCTAGGGCATATTCATGTAAACCCAGTGAATTCAAAAGATCTGAAGGAAAATGCATTTGGCCCTCTAGACTGCAAGAAACCCTAAAGAATGATAGGAACAGTCCAGAATGTTTTATTGGTATATTTTATTTTAATGGCACTTTTGCATACTAATTCCTTCAGCGCTCTGCCCACAATGCTAATGATGTTTTAAGTAAGATAAAAGAATTAAGGACCTTTTAGAGTAGAAAAAAGGAAAATGAAGAAAGCAAGCAAGGATTAAGCTTAATAGTTAGGATATTCACTTTGAAGATGGAAACTGTAGGTTCCAGACTGTTCGATGCCACTTATCACTATTTCCTGCAGAAAAGAAGGTTAATTGGGATATTGCCAGCAACCCAGAAGGGCCTATCTCATCACAGGTAGAGCAATGAAAGGGCAAGCAGTGCAGGTTCCGACTCTAGAGGAACATGATAATTGATTCAGTTTCCTACAGCTTGATGAGCACTTGATGAGAACTACTGTGGTAAAGATGAGACATTCACATTATCTTTGTTATTTAAGAGAGACAGAAAAGGACTTCAGACACTTGATTTTGTGTTGACTTCTAATGTCCTAGATAGTTCTCTGCAGGAGAGGTTTGAAAGATGCAACTCCCATAGGAAAACAGATGCATATACCCTGGAGAAACATAGAATTTAATACAAATTCCTGTCCGGACCACTACCTTGTGGGTTTGTATTGGCACATTTGCTTACAACGTGCTGTCTTGATTTTCAGCCTTCTCAGAATGGTATTCACAAATTTCTCCCCCTCCCAAGCTCTGTGCAGACTGTCAGGGCAGTTAACTTGGTGTTTCAGCATTTAGGTCTCTTTGTGGCTCTGGGCTTACAGTACATAAGCAATTAGTCAATAAACTATTTCAAAAACTGCTGAAGCATTCACCTTATTCAGTAACACAGAGGGAAACATGAGCCCTAATAGCTTGCCACAGATTCTGGATCCCAAGAATCTATCCACTCAAAAACGTACCACTGCTTTTTACTGAGTTTGTTAGATTGCAGACAATGCTAAACATGCAAGAGTATAAAGAATATTTCTGACTACTAGCTGCTTCTTTAAAAGAGGTGTTCTTGACTAAATATTTTTATAGACACTTCCACTAAAAGTGCTGCAAAAAACTGTTCTGTAGACTCCGTTTGTATAACTGCTGTTTATTTTAAGCACTGCATGATTTGTATTCATAATGGAAACTTCAATAGCAAAGGCATCCAAGGCAATCCTTCAGTCAATACAGTCTTGCCATCTACATCAGTAAACAGCACAGTACAATTGATGGAAATACGTAGAGTGGAAGAGTTAGTGATGAGGACCTGACATCCACATCACACATATTCTGGATGTTTTACTTCAGACCAACTTTATCTTATTAGCAAGCACTAGACACAGTAATGCATCAGGTGTGATCCCAGGACACATCTTCTGGTCACATTTTATAAAAAAAAATGCAGTTTCTTTGCCCAAAGATTGTGCACCCCACTCTTTAATTAGCATGGAAGAGCAGTGAGTGGAGATAAATAGGAAATTCATGTCAAAATAGTGCTCCTGATACAGTGTAACAAGTTTTTGCTCTTTAAGCCAAGGATATTTTTCTACTGTGTGAGTAAAAGAAAAGAAGAGCTTTCCTTGCATCTCAATCTGATGACCAAACACCCTTTTACCAATCCACATTAAAGTGCACCACACAACTCCCATGAATAAATAAATGGTGTCATCTGAAGAAAATGTAAATCTGAACTGAAGATAAGTCTCATATTTCTTTTCCATATATATTTATTGATGGAAATCTTCTTCAGTAAAATCTAGTTCAGGTCAAGAGATAAAATGTCATCCCTCTCAACTGTAAGTTCATGCAGAGGAATTATTAATCAATACACGGATCATACATTTTCACCCCGAATATGCACTAAAGGAGTTGAAAGGCTGTTAATGTAATCATGATGATTTGGGTCTCCTGCTGGTGGCTCCTCCTGCAAAAATCTAATTTTGCATCTGGGGTTCTGTCTGCAGCCAGCAGCCAGGGCGGGCAGAACGTCCTCCAGAGGAGAAGTCGCCACCACTGACAGCACTCAGACTATTAGCTCCTTGGAGAGCCCAGGGCCATTATTTTACAAGCACTTCTGTGACAGAAGGAGAAGTAAAGCTCTGGATTTACTACAGCTAATTGTATTTCTCCTCTGCAAAATTAGCATTTCGCCCTGTATATAGACATTATATATAGAATGACAGTAAACTGGACTAAATATATGACAGAACTATTACAGAGCTGATCTCAGAAACCCGTAACTACCAAAGCAAGGGAGACAATCTTACTTGATGTGCATATCTAAAAATATATGAGGCCATAAAACTAAAAGCCAGATATTGCAGCTTAATAAGACTACAGAGCTATCTCCAAGTTTCAAGTGCAGAATACTGCTATGCTCATCATGTTACTTGTTGCACTACCATTTTTGTAAACATGATACTGAATTTACTCTCTGATATTTCTTCATTAGCAAAGTACCTTGTGAAATATCTGTGAACACTTCAAACATCCCTTTGAAGGCAGGAAGTCCAAACAGCTTTGAGCTGCTTTCAGGTGTCTTCCCCCAAAACACACAAAATAATTTTAAAAAAATAATTAATATCTTTATTGTAATTTGAAAAGAAAAAAATAAAGATTTCTCAAGAGTTAAAAACTTGATGTACTTCATTAGTAACTCATATTTTGTAAAGACCATTTACTTTCCCCAGAAACATGTCAGAAAAATTATTAGATGTCTAATCTTGGTGGATGTGCACCAAGTACTACTTAAAATGGAAGCTATGAATTATCAGTCAATAAAAAGCATAATACCTGAGGCAGTAAAAACTCCTTCCTTTGAAAATAACAGTTATTACAAACCAGTCATTTCTTAAGAAAAGGATTGTGAGGCAACATCTTGAGCCATTAATATTAAAATACGAAGACAGAAGCTTATTTATGTAAGCTGGAGCTAGCAGTTCTTGTTAGACCATTCATTAGAAGGAAAGAAGGGCTAGGTAATAATTTGCAGAGTGATCTGGTTAAAGGCTGAAGAAATGTAGGAAAGGACTGTAGCATGTATTTAAGGGAAAAGACAGATAGTCCCACTTGTCTGCAGAAGTTGTCCATGTGCTCAATATTAACTACTTACATTTGAAAGGCATTTTATTTTTATTCAACCTCACATTGTATGTATGAACCGTTCTGATCCTACTGTTCATCATCACCATCCAATATTTTTCCTAATTAAAATTACTTTGAAGTCTCTGACCTTTAGGCAGACACTCAATTCTGAATTAAAATATAATTATCTTTATAACAAGAATACTCTTCTTATGCTGCCCCCACAGTCTTCTTGTTACAGAATAAATACATAATAAATGTAAGGAAAAGACTACATTGAACTTGATAGAATAATGAAAAATAAGAAGAAAATACACCGAGCAGCCTGGTCTTTCTTTCCTATATAATTAGGGCAAAGAGACAGCAGGGTAAAAATAAAGGCAATACTTAAAATTTAAAGAAAGAAATCTTTTGTGCATGGTGCGTAATTAATCTGCAGGACACACTGGCACACAACTTCAACAATTTTGCTGAAACCAAAAGGACGGTCTTTTACCTAAGTAGGTGCAGCAATCACACAGCTTATATTCCAGTGGTATAACACAGGTACAGAGCCATTTACTGAACAGGACCACAAACCACTCTTTGAAAGTGAAAGCCCATAAACTACAGAGTGTAGAGAACATATTCATTGTGAGTAAATCACAGGTTTTCTTCCTAAACTTGTGGTTCTGGACGGTGTAGCTATACAAATTGCTGGTGTGATGAGAGTACCATTTCTTATTTATTTCCTCACCTTCACCATTGCTTCTCCTAGCACAGGTATTCCTTAGTCTTGACCATATGTTTGCTTTACATTACTTTGCAATCTTTACTACAGTCAAATTACAGGAACTTAATAAATAACTTACTTTTACGTAGAGCTGCTGAAACTCCTCAAGGTTCAGTCTTCCGCTTGGACAGTCCTTTAGAAACCCTTTGTACCACTGTTTTAGCTCGTGTTCATTGAACTCCGTGCTCTTCACCAGATCCTCCATCACCTCAGGGGCCAGCTTGCTATTCTGTTTCCCCATTTTGCCTTAAGAAGAAATAAATGAACACAATTAGCCAAGTTGCTGTGAACATTTTAAACTGGAATCAGCGACAAAGCTCAAACGCATCATTTGTTTTGTACTCATGGCTGCTTTTAGTCAAACACAACTTCCATGGATTCACTAGTGAACAGAAACCTAAGCTATGCTTGAATATTAGAGGCAGAAAATGGTGAAAAAGAAAAAATTCTTCTTTCATTTAGGAGTCTTAAGGCCTGAAGACAGACTGCTAATTTGCCTTCAAATTAGGTAATTTCTAGCTTTTCTTTACACTAAGGCTGAAAGAGATGACTTCACTTTTTCTTTGATTTTAACAAAAATTTTTCACAGATTTAGGGATGTCCACAGAATTTCTCATTATTGTTGTCTTGAAAATTTCTTTTGATAAAACACCCACGTTAGCAGCTACTCCTCACAGGTACAAGGCTGTGGACAGACAAGCTTGTAATGTACAGCACTAGATGTTCCACTTGGAGGAAGCAACATGAGAGTTTCTTAAAAAATTATGAAACTGAACTAGAAGAATAAATGTAATTCTTACATATATGCACATATACATGTATATATACACATATGTATACATAGAAGTATATCTGTATGGATATATTTACTGCATAGTTGATACACAATAGATGGTTTGTATTTCACCACTGTTAACTCGCGAGATATCCACTACATTTTTTTGATATATTTTGTATACACAATTATAAATATTAAAAATAAAACCTACAAAAATGCAAAATATGCATATATGTACAGATAAATACAGTAACTTCAGTACTAGTCATGTTGGTCCTTTGAGGTATTTCCATTGATGACCAAAGATGTTCTTTGACAGAACTTTTGAGAAATCCTTTTCTTTAACTTTTTCCAATTCTACTACATTTTGTTTCATGACAGGAGATGTATTTGGGTTATTTTTTAATTAGATGACAGACAGTACTTAACTTTTCCTGTAAAGAACTGCAAAGCAATGAATAATTTCTTTGCTGAGCCTAGCTTAGCATTTCCATTTTTATCTCCCAGTATAGCATCTGTCTCTAATGACAGCAACCCATTGAATGCATTGATTTCTAATCCATATCACCACCCATTCCTGATATTGATCTATTGCTTTTGGCATCTTCCCCTGTTTCTATGGGGAATTTTCTTTCTTCTCAGAAGGACAAACTTTGCTCTTTTCCAACAAATCAATATACTTATATAACTTCCTTTATGGAAACTTTCCTTGAGCAGGCCCGAAGTTAACCTTTCCTCCTGGTCTGTGTGTGGTCAACACATCCCCCAGTGCCATACCACCGGTGGTACCGGGTGTCTTCCTGAAACACCTCATGACCCCTCTCCCCTTCGGCCATGGTCCTCCCTGGTCTCTCCTCAACCCCTCTCACAACCCCCAGTCCACCAGGACAACCAGGACTGGCAGCAACCCCCTTTGCCAAGACAGCAAATGACTTGGCCTCACAAACATCCCTGACATGGAGAAGGAAGGTGTCTTTCATCAAAGCATTCACTTGGTAAAAAGTTGGGAAATTCGGTCATCGGAAAGTACAAAATGCCACAACCCATCGGGCTAGAAACTCCAGCCAGAAACATCTCAACACCTTTGTGACATGGCTGATAGACGACTGTGCTGTGCACAGATGTAACCGGAGGTGGAAGTGGGTCACCATTTCTTGGGGTGCTTCCAGCAAGCAGATCCTCCTTCCCCAGGCTCTGCACATCCTTCCTCTACCAACACTGTGAGACACCACAGTGCTTTCTTGCTCGAGGCCCTGCATCTTCTCCAAACTACAAGAACACACTGAAAGAACTCACACAGCTTTTAATTAAGGGCAGCACACCGCTTGCTCTAAACTTACTTTGAAGCTTTGCCAAGCTCCCATCCTCATGTTTTGGTAAACTTAGCACAAATATGGTAGGGTTCAACCTTTCAGTTGATCTCCACAGGCCTAATTGTACACACAGATGTCCAGAAATAAGCCATTTTGACTAAACGACGGGTTTGCAATTTATAGTATTTAGAACAATTGCCCCAGCTTTATCTTTGAAGTCCCCATCTTCTCATGTATGACATTGACCTAATTTGGCATAATCAGAATTTAAATCCCACAGAGACTAAAGCATACTAATACAGTCATTTCTCTAGCTCCAACTCAGATGGCTTTTAAGTGAAACAATAGACTGTTTGATTTCATTTAATCTTTAAGGGGCCTGTCTATTTCCCCTTTTTTTCCTTTTTTCTCCTTTAAACTGTGTTACCCTTTGCAGTCATAAGGTGCTTCGCTTAGGGCCCAAAGGACCCTTAAAGATTCTCAGCAATTATAGTAACTACCTTAGGCATTCATAAGGCATCTTCTGGCTCTCTTAATTTAGCCAAGTGTTCTTTTACTTGAATCTTTTCACCTGGATTCTTGACCCAATTAATATTTAACTCAATGACACACACGAAAAAAGCATCTTCAATGGGCAAAAATCATGTGTGTTTGACTGACAAATTTTCTGCACTAGCAACTTCTCTGCATTTATTTTGTTAGCTTTACAGCCCTTGGATCTGGCACTACACAGAGGCGGAAGCAGACAGAACTGTGAATCTCAGCACTGCCATCCAAAGTTAGTCACGTCGTTTTCAGTACTTTACGTACATTATGGACATAAAGCACTTATGTAAGAATAAGGAGCTGGATAAACATATCCACACATCACCTTTTCTACCATCAGACTCGGAGAATTCTCTGCCTCTGTGATACAGATCCCTAGTTTTGGTCAGCTGCTTGTTCTGCCATAGGTCATCCAGTAAGTCGCAAACACCTTCCAGCCTGGAACACCTTCCACCTTGTTCCTGATGCACCTCACCATGTAATATCCTCTAGTAAATGAAAACGACAGCTGGCATCTTGATAAACACTTTCAGAAACTATTTTTTTCCACAGAACCAAACCAGTATTTGAGGAAGATATAATTTGGGCTCTGTACTCTTATTTGCTGCTCCAGCACAGAACGGTGCATAATCTGCCAGTCTCTGTTTGAGACGAGGGGCTGAACAACCTGATCAAGCTGGTCACAACGCCTTCCTGTAATTAGAGCACTCATTCTTTCTTCTCATTTTAAAGGTCTTTTCTTACAGAATTGAATTACAATCTGCAAAAAAAATCAAGAGCCTCATACAATTATCAAATATAAACTCACACTTCTGGCTCTGGGAGATCCAGCTTATTTGAGAATAAAAACTCAAATACATAGATTATCTAGTTAATCATATTCTGACATCTTCCAGTGTTTCATTGAATCTCTTATTATTATTGAAAAAGTACAATCACCCATTAGCAATGAGTATGCCACTGCCAACACATTTAATTTTCTAAAATGAAAACTATTTTTAATTAACTTATAATCATGGTTTCCCAAACATGTTTTTTCCTTGTGAAAAATCTATGAATATGCATTAGGAAAAGACAGGAGAGAACAGCTGCACTAAGTTTTCAAGAGGAGGAAAGGTCACTCTGCAAGCATTTCTTTGTTTAGTAAATTTTATTCTTTTAAAGTATATATTTGCTTCCAAATTCCATGGTTCTGACCATGCAATGTGACAATCCAAGCACTGTTATTCATCTTCTGTTGCATTTTCTGATTGGCAAAAATCATGAAAGGCAAAAAACAACAACAACAAAAACCGAAAAAGCAACATGCTTCGATTCCAAACCATCGTGGGGGAGAGATTCATGGTAAACAAGGAACTGGGTATGTGGGTGGCACTTAGCATCAGTAAAGGTGTCAAGTTTGTTCCCAGTGAGATTACTCTCGAAGGAGAATGCTTATTAATGTCAGCAAGGGCAACACAATCCAGATGAGAGATCAAGAAAAACACTACTGTTGCACCACAAGTAGCAGCATCAATGAAGGTTGAGTTTAAAAACACATCCTCTTGGCCGGAATGCTGCAAAGAGCCTATCTGCTACCCAGAGAAACAAGCTCTTCAGAAATGCTTAGTACAGTAGTACTTCAGTACTTCATTAAGTAACACCTTAATTGCTGCTTTTAAAGGTCCTTAAGAGGGTCAGATTTAAAAGATGTAATTTTATTAAACAACTGATCCCCTATCTGAAGCAATGCGGGCTGAGCCAGCAGCAGGCAGGGACAACATGAGGATGTATTTGCCTGCTCTTTGCCCCGCTGGACCTCAGGGAGGTCCACGCCAGCCAGCTTGGGAAGCAGGGAAGGGCTGCAGCAGCAGCTGGAAGTTACTCTAAAATGACTCAGCAGCATGCCTTAGCAAACTGATTTTATGTGATTTACCGGGGGCTTTGGAGGTAACGGGCATTAAATCATGTGCAGGAAGTGGAAGGCAGTTGCTCCAGTTCTAAGACCGTACCAGGTTTTAAAACAGTTTTTTGCTATTCATATCTTTTGTTTGACATCTTTCCTGCAATGCTATCACGTGTCCCACGCATGCTTGTGCTGTTTCAAAAGCTCTTCGCTCTCCACATGATCATCATCAAACCTCCTGGCAAGGTTTTTTCCCTGGAATACTGTAGAGCAATTCCTGCACAGGTTTATCAGGTCTGCCTCTCCCGCTTGCCTTGCCAGTATTAAACTGGCAGCGTGAGTAGGTTTACAAACCAGAATTTTGTTAGAGACCTAAGAAAAAAAAAGAGCTTCATAGCAAAACAAGACTTACAGAAGCTTGTTTGCTGTTTAACGATTTCAAAACACCCCAAACCTGTTGCTAACACAGTTCCATTCCCACCTGCTTCCTCTTTCCCCTCCTCTCTGCTCCCCTTTGGTCTCCACAGCAAGTGGTCAAATGTTCAAAGGGTTCAAGTGCAAACAAATATAACTGGCCATTCCTAAGGAAGAGTAAACTGAGCGTTGCTGAAGATCTCAGATTTGTGCTGAAAAACAATCCAAATTCCTTTGAGCAGACAGCACCAACAACGTCCAGCCATGTCCCTAAAAACCCTGTGTCATTTTGCATGCTTTCCTTAATCCC